GTTTTCGATCTGCAAGTTCCATATTCGCATTCGCCACATGAGAATACCCCGCTACACTGAAAACCATCTTATTCGCTCGCCGGTTGCGCCTTCTGCGCCGATTTCTTCAAAGCTGATCGTTCCAAAATTTTACGCCCACCACAACAAAATGTCCGATAATCGTAAAAAGACAACGTAAAACCATAATATGGGTACGCCTGCATGTTCAGCTACCTGTACAAGTGTTCCTGTAAAATTCTAACCACGCCGAGCGCGGCGTGCGCTCGCGGCGCAAGAATACAGAGCAGAGGGCTTTTGTGGTCCCAGGCTGCCCGCAATCCAAGTAAAATTTTTCTTTCAATGACTCCAAAAGTTCCTCCTTATGATTGCAGTCAGAATTGACGCTACTGACACATAAACGTCAATTTTGCGCAGGTTTAGCCAGGAAACTGATAAGAGCATGGCGCGTTTTTGTTCGTTATCCCGTCGGTGCGCAGCGTTACGTAGGCCGATTTTTCAGAAACGTTGTGCGATGGATTGCCTGAGGTTCCCGCTCTCACATACTGCTCACCTTATGCGCAGCGAATGCCATATTCTGACGCTACAGGCTGTAAAAGTCAGGTCAAACATTTAGGCTCTTTTTTCTATTGATAATTATAGGAATTGTGCATGTGTAGATTTCTACAGCTCGTAGATCCGGAATATCGCATTCGTTGCACGTAAGTGAGCATATGTGAAAGCGGGAACCTCAGGCAATCCACCGCACAATGTTTCTGAAAAATCGGTCTACGTAACGCTGCGCACCGACGGGATAACGAACAAAAACGCGCCATGCTCTTATCAGTTTCCTGGCTAAACCTGCGCAAAATTGACATTTATGTGTTAGTAGCATCAATTCTGACTGCAATCATAAGGAGGAACTTTTGGAGTCACTGAAAGAAAAATTTCACTTGGATTGCGGGCAGCCTGGGACCACAAAAGATCTCTGCCGTGTATTCTTGCGCCGCGAGCGCACGCGGGGCCCGGCGTAGCTACAATTTTATAGAAACACTTAAACAGGGTAACTGAACATGCAGACATACCCATATTATGGTTTTGCGCTGTCTTCTTACGATTATCGGACGTTTTGCTGTGGTGGGTGTAAGGTTTTGGAAAGGTCGTTTTTGAAGAAATCGGCGCAGAAAGCGCAACTGGCGAGCGAAGAAGATGGTTTTCAGTGTAGCGGGGTATTCTCATGTGGCGGATACGAATATGGAAGTTGCAGATCGAAAGCTGCTCAGAATTTCCAAAAAAAGCCAGAATATTGGGGTGGGCGTAAAGTTTTGGAACGCACTGTATTATATACAGGACTAAATCGTTTTCCTCCATTTTTTTACTCATATTAGTGTTGTTTACGCCCAGGCTGCAAGCCCAATCGTAAGATTGAGAAAGCACATTGTTGTTTTTCTTATGCACTGCACTGCCTTTAATCAGCACGAACAAAAGTAGTTGTTGTTAATAGGTGCTCGACTTTAAATTTTCGTTGAATCTAGGTTCTAAAGCCCGTTTAAGACAAGCGGTGGCTTCTGTCGTAACTTAAACGCTTCAAAAATAAACAAACAAAGATGAACAAAATCGTTTGTAAGATCTCGATTAAACATAAACCCTTACTATGTATTTCTAAGGTATACGTGGTGGTGAAAAAAAATTGCATTTCTAAAGCCCTGTAGCTTTTGGGGAAACTATTTGAGAGACCGTAAGAAAGTCTACATTAAAGTGAAGCAGTGGTCGTCACTTTACGGTTAAGTCCTCTTTCTAGGCTAGCCAAGGCCTCATTGTCCAGAAGACTACGGCATGACAGATCTCAGGGATTCCTTTTTAAACCGCACAACAGTCTTAGGTAGGAGAGAGATAAACTGCGATAAAACGGCATTTGATGACAGGTGATTTTTGTGATTTCTTCAGAGCCTCAAGCCTCTTTCCATATGAGGACTCAAAAAAAACATTGTAGTAGAGAGTAGAGAGCGGTGGGCATCTCCATTATAATGTAACGACATGCTGAGGGATACCAAAACAGAGTGAACTAAAATTCCAAATGAAAGGTCTAGTCTTATACGGACTTTTGCATGACTCCTTCGAATTACTCATCATGCAATGAGAATCAACGAGATAGCTCCGCTACAAGAACAATTCCAAAAAAGTCTTCTAATTATCGAAGAAAATCCGAGCGAAACGCTTGGATTCTGGCGGACCATTTCGCGACTATGGCTCTGATCAATAGACAGTGTTGTCGACCAAGTTTCTAGCAGAACGGACGTTGGATACGAAAGCAAAGTCAAAATTAAAAGAAAAGGATTAAAGGGCTTCTCTTTCAAGAAAATATGGATACAAAAGTGTAAAAAAAAAAAACCGGGCAGTTCTTCAAAATGCATGAAATCTAGTTAGTAAAACGTTTTAATTAATTGGTAAAGCTCCTGTATCTATACCTGCAGCAAAATTATTGAGGTTAGAACTCTCAAATCGATTTTGCTTTCCTAAGAACCCCATAAGCTCCATAGTGTCTTTTCTACATGGCATCAACAAATAGTAATGGTTGTGTAGCAGCCATGGAATGCCGTCCATCACAGCAGCGTGGCGCAGTGGAAGCGTGCTGGGCCCATAACCCAGAGCTCTGTAGATCAAAACCCACTCGCTGCTAACGTTTTAGCATTTTGCATTGTTATGCGGAAAGCACATTGCTTTTGCTGGAGAAAACTGAATTAAGCTAGGGAACTTTACATCCACTAAAAACATATAGAACTTCAAGTTATTAAAAACATGTACTTACTTTGTACTCGAGTTCTTCTTAACGAGGTATTTACCACTAACAAGGGGAAGGCACCAGCCTAACCCGGCCGATCCGAATGAAACTTTGGGATATGAAAGCTACCCTGGTGGGCAGCTGAATACCGTGTAGCAAATTTGCCGCGGTATTTTGTGCGGAGCGTGAGAGACCAAAGGAGACTGCGCACATGCTTTAAGAAAGTCATGCTTAATGAAGTCTGTCGGGCTTGCTGTCGCAAATGCAAGTATACGCGAACGTACACGAACTAGCGCACAGGTGGTCGGGAGTATGGGTCATCTCCTTGGCAGATTTTTACGCGCTGACACTTTTTTTACTTCGTCACATTACTGCCCAATAATCATACATTCACAAAAAGGCCTGTTGAACATGTGCAAACATATTTTATGTTAACGGAAAGGATCAGTAACGATCCACATTCATATTCATAAACTTCTAATCATTCCCAAAAATCGGTATGTTTGATGCTGCTCGCGTGCTTACCATTCTCTTGGAGAAGTTTGGCAAAGCTGACATCACGCATGTGTCACGAGAAGAAAGGAAGACAGCTGAAGCATTCGAAAGAATTCTTCGTGATGCAGAAATTTCGGACCTCATCGTAGAAGACGAGGAAGATTGTGAAGAAGCCGAAAGCGAAATCACGGAAGACGAGTGGAATTTCTGCGATGAGGAGGGGTCTGTCAATGATTATACAGTATCCCCTGGAATAGTGCGATTTGGCGAAAAACTGGTTACACTTGAGCAGGTGACATACCCCATACTTTCTCGTAAAGGTTATATCCTGGTCTTTGTCATAAGTGCAATCTGCAATAACCTTTTATCGCTCTACAAAAAAGAACTCGAGGCCGTTTGACTCAATCCGAAGGAGATACCGCTGGCTAGAGAGCAAAAACCATTTGCAAAAGTTGAGACAGATAGAGAAGAATGGTAAAATTATCTTGGGTCGTAAGATTTGTGAATGCAGTCATAGTTTATAGGGCAGACTAAACAAAGATGCATTTCTTTGAAATTACTGGCTTCTATTCTCGAAGAGGAAGTGAAGGAAAAGCTGGAACTTGGTTAGGCGAAGTACAAAAAATCTAGAATAGATGTCATCTGGAATTGCGAATTTTGTAAGAATTACTCTTCATGACGCAGACCTTCAGCAGTTGGCTATAAATCGAGATAAAATTCATGTCGATGAGTTTAAGG